CATTTCTATTAACAATATATATAATGTTCAGTCCATCAATTTGATTTATTAGTAATATCCCGTGAGTTCCACATACTCATAAAGTTGTTGCCTAACACTGATTGTGTGGCAAGTGTAGTATCCAACAAAATAGCCATTTCTGATTATTTAAATTCCCAAAGTTGCTCATAGTTATGAAATACATGTTTCCCCATATGACCAAAGGTTTAACAATGTAACTGTCATGTGGCATGACAAAATACCTACTAAATCAGTGGTTCTCAAACTTTTGTATTGGTGACCCCCAGGAGCGCCGCCAGCTTTTCTTCTGCCCTAGGGGGCAGAAGGGCCCGCCCCGAAATGCCGCCCCCCACAGAGGCGGCGGAAGGTCCTGCTGCCGAAATGCCACCGCAGTCGCCGCGCCGCCCCCCAAATTGTAGCGCCTAGGCGACCGCCGGCCCTGGTGACCCCTTTCACACAGCAAACCTATGAGTGTGACACCCCCACCCAATAAATTAAAAACACTTTTAAAATATTTAACACTATTATAAATGCTGGAGGCAAAGCAGGGTTTGGGGGTGGAGGTTGTCAGCTCGCGACCCCCGCATGTAATAACCTTGCAACCCCCTGAGGGGTCACAACCCCCAGTTTGAGATCTCCTGTACTAAATGAACATAACAAATTATCCAGAACTATAAAACACTTGATGTAGCTCGGCATCCATACTTTAATTCAATATCACTAATATCAGTTTTGGATAGAATGCAGGTTAAGGTACAAGAGTAAGTACTGGGCATGGTTTATATTTGTCTCATGAATAACTCTGTGGTGCATTCACCAGTTCAGTAGCTGGATTTAGACACTGATAAGTCTGGTGCCCCTGACTGTTCATACATCATTGTCTGTGGGACTCTTCTCTCTAGCTGTATAACTTTGCATGTCAGTGGGTTATTCTGGTGATCTCTCCTGTTGTGCAGTACTGGTTTCAGGAGCCATGATCTTGGTTTGATAGTCATGTCTTTCAGTGGCTGGTGTAAATGTCACATCAGTCTGAGCTGTTCCCAGTTCACATCCTCTGTATTTCCCAGTTGTGGATCAAATGATTCAGAGTCTCTGTGCCATGTCCCATCATGTAATGAGGTTCGTTTTCACTATCAATATCACTGGAGTCTGAATTCCTGGCCTCATTTTGATTTCCTGTTATGCTAGTTTGCCTTGTTCTCATGTATTCTGCTATGGTGGTTTGGAGGGCAGTGGTATATCCAAAGGTAAGAAGTCACCGGGAACTAGAAGATTGCACTGAACTCCTTTTCCATCTTCTACTTTTATTTCATAGATAGGACTATTCTCCTTTCCTTTGAATTACTACATGAATTCTGTCTTCCCAATAGGATCTTAATTTGCCTAGTCCCTTTCTCTCTGAAAGATTCCAGATGGGTACTCTGTCACGTGGCAAGAGGGCAGCATTGTGCACTCTGATCATAATGATTCTTTCCATGGGCGGCTTATTTTTTGAGAACATAAGGTTCTTTCATCTGCTGATTCCATTTTCAATGTAATCTTTATGGTTCCCAGGTGGAGATTCAGAGTTTATAGGTAGGCCACATGCAATGTCAACGGGCATATGTGCTGATCCTTAATATAATAAATAGAAGGGTGAGATCCCTGGTGTCTCAATCTAAGTACAGTTGTAGGCATAAATTACCTTTCTGAGGGAGTCCTTTCAGTTTACTTTTGTTCTTCTGGCAAGGTTGTCAGCATAGCCAGCAGAATTTGGTTTAGAATTTTTTACTTGCCAATTGCCCTGATTGTGTGAGATGGCACCGTTTTACAGTAGTGCTGTAACCTTCGGAATAGATTATTTTCAAACTCTGCCCTTTGATCATGATGAATCCTTTTTAGGAAACCAAATTGTAAAACTAAGTACAGTAATTGAAGATCTTGTCTGCCACAGTCTTTTCTGACTTGGTGGTACGGAGGGTTGGACAAACCTATTGAACCACTATGACTAAGGTGTATTTATATCCTCCTCCTGTCTCTGTGCACAAAATCTATTGACTGTGTTATCATTATGTTCAGTTAAATGGAGCTCTGGTAGGCTGGTGAGATTTGTTTTGCTTGACACATGTGCAGACTCTAGTTACGTAATCTTCAGTGTCCTCCTTCATCTCCGGCCAATAAAACCAATACCTCTTGCACGACTGATTACTCACTTTGCTGCTAAGAGTTCCATCTCTTCCTGTAGTCCTTGATAAATGTCCCATTTGTATTTTTCAGGTAATACCAGTTGATTTCATAACTTGGTTTTCTAATAAAGTATTCCATTTGTATCCAAATGCAACCAATACTGTTCATGCATCAGGGAGGGGACCTCACCACATCTTCTTGTGTTCTCTTGGTTATTCGGTTTGTGTCCCAAGTACTTATAATGAAGAATTTTAGCAACTGCTAAATCTTCCTTCTGAGTTGCCAAAATGTCATGTCTTATGGAATAGACTTTATGGGTGATATAACACTCATGGCGAAGTCTTCTACTGCCAAAGAATTGGCAGTAACAGCTGCTAACCAAGATATCTTGCTGTCTCTTTGGATATACAAGGACAGCCTAAACATCATCTTTATTTGCATCTTCTGAACATTTTGGCAAATATTTTTTTTCCCCCATATCAGAAGGCATTCTGGATAGAGCATCTGCCTCCACATTAGATTTCCATGGATGATAGCTAACTTTGAAGTTAGTCAGCTAATTCTGCAATCTACCAGTGTGCTGTGATATTCAGCCTGGTAAAGGTGAATATGTAAGTTAACTGGTTACTATCTCTGCAAACCATGAAGGATTGTGCATCGTACAGGTAGACATGGTTTTTTAGTTACAGCCCATTTCAAGACCAGAAATTCCAGTTTTCCTGAGTGAAGGTAATTTTTCTCAGCTGCAGTTAGTGTTCTTGACCCATAACTGATGTCATTTAGTTTATCCTCCTGACATTGGTTTAAGATTCCCTTATTGGAAGCATCTAAATGTACTGCTACCACAAATCTCCAATTACAAGCACAGGGGGGCTCAAACACCTAAAGTGGAGCAGCCACAGGGGGACACATCGCAAAGAACCTCAGTTACTGCACAAGGTGAATAACCCTCTCTTTTGGTTGTGTTCTATCTTTATATTAACTGAATTCTTAAAATTATTTTTGACTCTGTTGGTATCTATTTGAAATAGAAACTTTTAGCATATTGATTTTGTTTTATTCCATAAAGCAATAACCAATTTTTGTTAATCTGTAAGCGTTTTATACAGGGGAAAAATATATGTAGCTGTACTGATTATGAAACCATAAATGCTTTAGTTGGTTTTATAAAATGTTTTCTTATTTCATAGATGTCTTTCCTGTCTAAACATGCTCCTAAATTTTTGATCCATACTTCACACTCTAATATGAGGTAAAAGCATTAGAGCATGTTTATTTCTCTAAAGAGAATTGAAGGGCACTTTATTGTTACAAAAGTGTCTTGTAAATTTCATTTTTACAAGTACATGCTGCCCTATTACATGCATCATGGCATTAGATGTCAAAAGATACAAAAAGTGACCTAACTGATGGTATAGAACAAAAATAATCAAATGCTTAGTCAATAACTCATGGAGTTTGCTGTACTTGTATGGATAAACTAATTAAACAGATCTGTCTGTGTTCCTCAAGCCTATTGTGGCCCTGTTATTAGTTTTACAGAACGGAGTGTTGTAACATTGAATGAAGGTAAATGATGAAAGAATAGTGTCGACACGAAGCACTAAGAACTCCCATTTCTAGTCACAGAGTGGTTTCAAAGAAAGGAGGTTTTCTCTGCACACCTGCAGGCATTCATTGCATAGGCCTCTTGTGGTCAATGTTGATTGCTGCTTGTCTGTAGCAAAACAACAAATAACTTTGTGTTTTGTACCTTCTGTGATTTAATATTATGCTTTTTGCCAGAACTGACACAAATCTTTTTTCCGATAGTGACAGTAATTATAGCACAGCTGTAGTAAAGGGTCTTTCAGAGTTTCCATTATAAACCCCTATAGTCATTTTATAACTCAAACATAAAAAAATGTATTTTGTGCTTACAAGACATACAGAGGCTTTGCCTTGGGGTATGTTGTAATGTAACTTCTTCAAACTGAAAGTGGGACAATTGTCGGTCTGAATTAAATTGAGTACTAAGGAAATTATTAATTCTAAGGCAGTGGTCCCCAAACTTTTTATTTTGTGTCATTCCTTACCAGTAATGGGATCTGTCTGCCCCCATCCTTCCCTCTGCCGATACTCACACTTTCTTGTCAACTGTTGGAAATGGGCGACGTCCACCTTGATTGCATTGGCCTTGTTAGTACTACAAAAGTAATTTCCCCTCCCTTGGTATTCACCCCTTCTTGTCAACTGTTGAGAATAGGCCACTTCCACCTTAATTGAATTGGCTCG